CAGCGCTCTCCGACAGGAATTCACACAACCGACACTCCTGCCCAGAGACACAGGCATTTTTGGGGAAGGAGGGAGGAAGGAAGGAAGGAAGGAAGGAAGGAAGGAAGGAAGGAAGGAAGGGAGGAAGAAGAACCACACTAAAGCAGCAAAAGCCACAAGTATTGATGCCTAAGCTCCTTGTCTATTGAGAGAAGATTTGTTACAGGATCACACTTTTTCCCCCCAGGCAACACATCCACAATCCATTCTTGGCAGGCAATTCACCCTCTCCTTCTTGGTGCAAGGCAGCCATAAGGACGATCCCACCCTCCAGTCCCACACCTATCCGGGCTGTTGGGGTAAGTGAAAGTGCACTCAATGGCAGATCTCCCTGCAAATCTCCTCAACCCCACTACAGACCCAGGGACATTCACCTTTGCAATTTGTAAAGTGAAACGAGGGTCTTCTGACTTAGTTGCACTGTAACTGGGACACGGCTTTTGGTATACTTGGAACTTTTTATTCTTATTATATAGACTTTCTACAGCACGCTTTTGGTATACAGTAACAGCTTTACTTGTTCCAGTGCCTTCATCAGTGGCTGAAGAACACCGAGCTTGGCTGGGAGACATTACAAAAGCTTAAGCAAACACTTAAACAAAATGAGAAAACACATCCAAGAATAACTTCAGTGTGAAGGAAACACTGACACATGCCTTCCTGATGCACACCTCTTTTCTAAAATGCCAACATATAAAATAGCATCTTGTTAAAGCCCCCTTACATGAAATCTCAGCGCTGCACACCCCTTTCCTTCAACCCATACCTACTACACAGACTTACTAGCTTATCACTTAAGGAGTTAATCACACTTACTGTTCCTTAAGCAAAACACACTTACCTACAGCGATTCCAGGTGGACCTCCCATCAGACCACCAAGAAACGCCGTTACACCTGCCAGCAGGGCTCCTCGACCAGAGTGTTTGACAGCAGCTTTCATCCCCTTCTCCTGAGATAGATGGTAGAACAGTTGCATCACATCATCAACATTGATGGGCATCCTGGCAAGCTAAGATCCTGGAAAAAAAGTTTAGAGTTATCTTTTGATCACTGCAACAGGGACTAAAGCAAAAGGACTTCTAGGAAAAAACAGAGTTCAGGAGCGTGTAAGAGGAAACAGTGAGGTAGACAGTCAATCCAGGAAAAAAAAAAAATGCTTTCTCTTTCGTTTCTGGGAAAAGCCAGCCCATTTCAAAGTGGCTGGAATATACACTAAATAAGTAATACATCATCCCTGTATTAAAGAGAGACACATTTTTGCATTTAATCCAGTAAAAACTTTGGTTTTAGTTTATAACTTAGATAAATCTGGGCACAGGACTGCTGCTTTGTGTTGCGCTTGGGTTTTCTTGTTCGTATTTTTGTGGCACAGCAGGAAATTCATCAGAGTTGCATTACTCTCACTACTTCATTCATTGCCATGCCAGCCTAAGGAAAATGGAGAAGTTCTTCACTTTGCCATTGTTGCTTTTGGGTTTTTGGCAAGTGTATGACACAACGGCGTATCGGAACGGCAGCGCATGCTGGTTAGTGACAGCAGAGTGACACACTGCTTCCAGAGTTATAGATCATCCATAAAATACGGTTCAAGCTCAAAGTAATCAACAAGTGACTGCTCTGTCCCTCCTAGAGCACGAGGAAACCAAACCAAACCAAACCAAACCAAACCACACATCTGGTACAGGTCACACTGCCAAGCTTGTTTTACCTTCTGAACAAAAGGTGAGCAGATTGCCACTCAGAGTAACATTCACACCAGCACCCAGAAGCCTCAAGTGCTGCAGGATTCAGTTCCTCCCCTCAGTGAGACAGGAACCGATTTGTGCTTGTCCTGCACCTCCTCAGCACAACCTTGGACCCAACCTAACCCAACCGCCCGAGCACTGAAATGAATTTGCTGCTTCTCTTTGGGCTAATTGCAGCTAAGTCTCAAGCCAAGCACTTAAGCAGGAAGGCTATGCAGGACGGACACGGCAACACACCTCGGAGAGCTGACAACACAACACAGCTCCCACCAAGAGCAATACAATCTGCCTTCCCCCAATCCAACTGAATGATTTCCGCAATTTCCTAAACCTATCTAATTGTAATACACGTGAAATGATGTTTTGTGAGCAAAGAAGCCCAAAGCCGAAGCCTCAGGTTCCTGCAGCATGTAGAAGCTGGCTGCCCACAGAAAGGCACCCGCATTCCTCCATCCACCGCACTGCCAACACCAGGGAGTTTCCTTACGGTGACGTGGCATCTCGAGCAGTGCAAAGGTGATCTGCTGCTCTGAGCTTTCTCTGCATAAATTACAAAGTCTTTCATGGTTAGATTCAAAGTGCATTTGGCTTGAGAGTAAAAAAAAACCCAGACCATAATGAAAACATTAATCACACTGCGATCTGGTGGCGTACCAAGTGTGGTGAACACAAAAATTCACAATAATGTATTAGTGTCAAGGTAAAGCAGAAACATACTGGAACTCAAGCAAGTGCAAATAATTTTTCTACAATATTTTACTACTTTACTCCCCTCACAACTTTCCCAAAGGGAATTTCCACTTGCAAAATTAACACTTATTTGGGGTTTTTTGGCTTGATTGAGGAAGGTCCTTGGCACAGCAGAACCGTTCCTGCTTAATTCCAGATGCAAGTTTCACACTCAAAATTCCCAGACCTCACAAGGAGCACTCATTTTCTCTCAACTCTTACAAGTATTTCTATGATCTCTTAGCACATTCACTCTATTCTAACTCTTGTAGTGACTTTTACTGAATACAGCAGCTGAGGCACAGCACATACAATTTTTTTCTTTAAACTGTATGTGTAGAGCACTAGTGGGAGCCATTAAAACATAAACCACATATTACAACACATACGCATAAAATAATCCCAGAGATTCCTATACTCAGCGCAGAAAACACAGATGAGTGGACCAACATTCCAGAGATCTTTTACAAAGTCACACCATTACAAATTCCGTTGACAGTTTTAAGTTCTGATGAAGAATCAAGGTGCTCAATCAGACAATACTCAGTAAGCATGGGGTTTTTTAGCCATACACTACAGGCCATGAAAGCAGGGTATTTAAGAATACATCAGGAAGCTGCAGCACAGACACTCTAGAAGAGTTTAACCTGCTACTAGGATAAGCAGCCACAACCTTCCACCTCCAAAAGGTAACAAAAAAATCCCTCAGCCTTCCCTTTACCACCCCCCCAACACATAAAAAAAAAAAAAAAAAATAAAAAGAAAAAAAAAAAGAAAAAATAACAGCAGACAGACATCTAGCTTTAGGCTGAGGAAATCAAACCAAAGGCCTATAAAGCTCTGCAGCTGCAAACCTCTAACATCTCACAGACTGGTAATGTCTGCAGGAAGCCAGCTACAAGAACATGGAGCACAAAGTTGCAGGTCACATCAACCTCATGGTGGACCATCTTGCAAACACCAAAACCAACAGCCAGCGCATTGCTGCTGTGGAAAACTGCTTTGGGGCTTCTGGACATTAGCCATGCCAGGAAGGGTCCTTTTAGGAGAAGGGATTTTAACCAAAGAATGCCGCAAGAAACCAAAGCCTTGCATATTCTTCCTTTTCAACGACATCCTTGTCTACGGCAGCATAGTCATCAACAAAAGGAAGTACAATTCCCAGCACATCATTCCCCTTGAAGATGTCACTTTGGAGACGCTGCCAGACACCTTGTAGATGAAGAACCGCTGGATGATTAAAAACTCCAAGAAGTCCTTTGTGGTTTCCGCGGCCTCCCTGACAGAGAGGAAGGAGTGGATCAGCCATCTGGAGGAGTGCATTGGGCACCTGCTGACGAAGACGGGCCGGCAGACCCCCGCGGAGCCCAAAGCACCCCGGATCCGACAAGGCGACGGACATCTGCATGCGCTGCACGCAGACCAAGTTCTCCACGCTGACCCGAAGGCACCACTGCCGCAAGTGCGGCTTTGTCGTCTGCGCAGACTGCTCCCGGCAGAGGTTCCTGATGCCCCGGCTGTCCCCCAAGCCCCTGCGGGTCTCCAACCTGTGCTACAGGCAGCTGCTGAAGCATTTGCTCTTGCACTCCATCTTTCCCAAGCCCAGCTCTTGAATCTTTTGCTCCCTTGAGAGCAGTGAAGGATACAAGTCTTTCCCTTCAGATTTTGGAAAATCTGGTTATGTAGGCCTTAAAATTAACCTGGAAGGGCAAGACACAGAAGTTAGATGTCTCTCCATTTTGTCCTGAGAGAGCAGGGTTCCTAGAACCAGAACGGTCCAAGCAAACCCCGGCAACAGTTAAAACTAGGAGGTGCCCTGGCCGGCCTTTCTTCTTGCAGAAAGCTGCCATTACTATCCAACAGATTGCCTGCAGAGAGGCAGAAGAACATCCATCGATAGTTAGCTGGGCGAGAGCAAAAAATCGCGTTGGAAATGCACACAAATACAAGGAGAACGTGCTTTTCCACAGTTCTGCACTCAGGACAGGTTTTACCAGTGGCTCACATGCAGCAGCAGGACACAGGGATCCCCTCCAGCTCCAAGGGAAAGCTGGTGCCTGGGGAGGTACGGTCACGGCTGCACACACCCCTGCCCCGGCTCCATGATCTCTCGCATCAGGAACCCTCCCATCCCTGTCAGCGTTCAGGGGCTGATTCTGACTCCGCTGCGTGTTTCTCTGGTTAATTTGCAATAACGTCTCAACACGTGCTCAGGGAGCTGCAGCGGGGCGAGGTAAAAATAAGACCTTCTAAGCTTCTGTTTTGTTAGATCAGTTTTGACCCCAGATCATACAGATTATTCATCGTATCTTATTGACTGATACTGAAAGAACAAACCCTTCACACTGCCTTCACATTACACATACAAGGGGATATCTGAGAGGGCTCTACTCCAAAGCAGCATGCCAAGCACGGGAAAGATTTCACCTCACCCTAAATCCCTGCTGCCCACTGAGGCTGGGCAGGAAATAAGGAATACAAAACATTTGCACCCTGTTAGACACTCCTGTGCGGGGTGTAATTCGTTAAGGTCAAACACCAGTGTAAACCTTTCATTCCCCTGCAGCAAAGAAAGTAGCTTCTCTTCACAGCCTCGCAGCTTCCTCTTCATCCCCGTTGCTATGAGCCTCTGCTATCATTTGTTACAGTCCTCTGTCAATGCTCTTGTCCTCACTGCAGGATT